GATTATTTATCTGGCCCTGGTATAATATTTAAATCCTTTAAATATATACCTCACTGCCAAATAAATACAATCATTCCTTATTTAAATTAAGGAAATTAATTCACCGCCAACGGAAACAATTCAATCAACGACGCAATTAACTCTCGACACGACCCGGATCCCTCTGCACAAGTCCCCATCTCGAATCGAGAGTTGGGGGGCTTAATGATATACCTAAATGGGCTGGCCCAACGGGCCCTCAAATTTATCTACTAATTAGGCCCACTACATGATAGCCCAGTCATATACGAGTGGGCCCATTACACGAAAGCCCAAGCTCCTTCAAAGTAAGGCTTGGGCCCAACAAAGGAAGCCCAACCCATTTAACAACATATAAATAGATGTTTTATTCATTGATTAAGGTACGTTCTCATTTTGATTGATAATCGACCACAAGTTTATTCTCTCTACTTTTCTCTACGATCCGTACATCTGACTTGAGCGTCGGAGGGGTTTCCGCCGGATCAACCCCCGGCTTAGTTCACGTGTGCTCATTTTGTAGGGACCTCAGGATCATCGAGTTGAATAGCTATTGATCAGCTTTGCTCTCCCTGCTTGTTTTCTACATCATCCTAGGTGAGCTATACTCTAGCCTCATCATATATATATTATTACATATATGTAATTTTTTTTTTAACCGGGTACCCGGGTATAATTGCTAATATCCGGAGCTGACCCAGTTTGGAGCACCGGGTACCCGATATATTTTATGGGGTATAAGTTATAACATTTACAAAAAAAAAAATTCCAACTTGTGTCTAAAATAAAAACCAATTTAAAAATCCAATTTCATTTTGGACCAAATGCAAAGGAATCATCTTCATATATCCTTCCCATGTACTTGGTATAACTAGAACCGCCCCTCCATGCTTTACTAACGTGACAAGCACAAGTTAAGATGTTTTCATATTATTTCAATTTCACTATAATATTACATGCGACACGTGTCAATTTCCCAGTGGGCCGAACTGATAATTTCATTCCTCCCTCACATGTTGACGACATTTGGACCATGTACTGCAATAAATACTAGTAATTCCTTCAATCTTTGATTTTCCCAATTATTTTAGTGTGAGTGAGAGGAGGGCCACTCATTGGCAATTAATATCTTTACTTCAACAGTAGTATTTCTTTTTTGTACATTTACATTTTTTTTTATATTTTTAAATATTTTTAATATTTTTTGTATTGAAGCTAGAGGTGCATCTAAAGAAGCCTCACATGGACATCACATGGTTTGTAAAATATATATGTATAAAATTAACTATATCATATAAATCGCATTAGACTAATTATGTGTGACAAACTCGACCTAATAATCGTTGAGAAGAGGGTTTGTATCTGAGTCAATTGACACATGTTCGCTGTTCTAAGCGCTAGGTTATTAATTTAGAGTTCATTTACTACAGATCTGACTAACAATCATATCATCGAATTGAAATATACATACGAAAATCTTGAAACTCATTACAAAAAATTAAACAATTTTGAGAAATAATTACGATTTGATTGGTTTATAAATCACATTTAAGAAAGAACAAATGACGTGAGAAAATGTTTAACCCCAACAAATTAAAGCAAATTTTGGACTATGATTAATTAGTTGCCATAATAAATCTTTAAGCAACCATTTCAACATTATTATTACATCCTTCTTTGCAAGCACAAGTTACCATTATAGTGTGTGCAAATTTGGTCAAATTTAGAAAGCAAGGTAACGAGAAAATTTATAGAAAATTGGTTTGGTCCAAATTGAACATGATTTTGTGTAAAATTAAATTAAAAAAATATTATCCAATGTTAATGTGGCTACTACCTGCAGTTATTTGTTAAAAAAGAAAATTGATTTAGTTTGTTTGTCTCACTCACACAGTAAGTACATATTAAGTATGTTAAAAAATAATGGTAAATTATGGTCATCTCGGAGGTAAGATTAAACTACAAAAAAATCCCTCACAATCACCCCTCAACTATGAGTTTTCTTACATATCCGCACTTCTGGTGTCAAATTTAGTGGAATGTTCTAGATCACGTGCAATATTCTCCATTTTGTTCTAGATCACGTGCAATATTCTCCACATTTTAAAACGAGATGATCATAAGATGTGTCTCTTGACTTGTAAATATCAGATTGTGTTGCATCAAAAATTGCATTTTTGCACAAAACAAGTACAAACTAGAGGACATTCCATAAAATTTGGAAGATTATGTTGAATTTGACCTCATAAAAATAGACGTGTAAGAAGATTCATATTTCATGGATGGTTATAATTACCCAAACATAAGGGATTTTTTTCTGTAATTTAACTTTACCTCAAGAAGGTAGCCGTAATTTACCCAAAAAACAATTAGCAAGAAAAGTAACTAATTAAAAGGGTATTATCCACATTGTATTAATCAAGCGAACCAGCTCATTTCCAACCCTATTACCGCGTTACACCCATGCTATATATATCTATATATAAACACTAATCACACATACTCTACCTTTCCACCTCATGTATATATGTTCAACACAAAGCTTATATACTACATTTCACTTCTATCTTACTATATATAATATATATATTACATATACATATACATATAAATAGGTGACAACAGAGCATTGAGAAATTCATCAGAAAAAAGAAAAAAAAAAATAATAATTAAATCATTGAAATGGCAGAGTTAGAGAGTTGTGATGTGATGATGAAGGTGATTAAATTCCTATCTTCCCTTCTCCAACGAGTGTCGGAAACGAACGACGGTTTTCGGTTTTTCCACACGCAGAGAATCTCGATTTTCCACGGGTTGACGAGGCCCACAATTTCGATCGAGTCTTATTTGGAGAGAATCTTCAAGTACGCGAATTGTAGTCCCTCGTGTTTCGTCGTGGCCTACATTTATTTAGACCGTTTCGCGCAGAAACAGCCTTTGCTCCCGATCAATTCGTTCAATGTTCACCGCCTCCTAATCGCCAGTGTGTTGGTTTCTGCTAAGTTCATGGATGACATGTGAGTATTCATTCTTCTTTAATTTGATTAATTCAACTTTTGTTTAATGTTAATTTAAGGTAGTTATATTTGGTTGGTTTTTATTGTTTTTCTCTTTTTAACCAACTTTGAGATCTCTTGTTCTTGTTTTCTTCAAAATAAATAATAATCATAATAATATAATAAAAACACAATTTCACATAATTTCCCAGTGTTTTCTGATGATCCCAAGGTGAATCAAGTCAAATGTTATTACATGAAACATAAAAATTCAAAAAAAATTATAAAAAAAAAAAAAAATATCTAACTTAGGTAAAACTAGATTCCTACATGCTAGGCTGTTGTGTCAGAGTGAAACTAGCCAAATCATGTGAATACTTCCATGTTTGTTTTACAGACAATGCCACCAATTATTTGGTCACACTGTATATATGTATGTGTGTGTGTGTAGCCTGTAATAACAGCCAATATTCCCTATATCATCATTTACAATGACAGAGTAGAAAAGGCTGAATATAATTTTTTTGATATAATTGCTCTAAAAATTTTTAACTTATTAAATGTTTTAATTATGATCACCCCTTAATTTATTTATTTATTTTCCCATTCCCTACAGATTTTACAACAATGCATACTATGCCAAAATAGGAGGAATCACCACAGCAGAGATGAACCTTCTAGAAATGGACTTCCTTTTCGGATTAGGGTTCCAACTCAACGTGTCGATTTCGACATTTCACCACTATTGCTCTTATCTCCAAAGGGAAATGCTACTCGAATTCCCTCCTCTTATCATATCACCAAACATCGGCATAACCGATGATCACAAGCTCCTTTTTTGCGTTAATGAAGAAGGGTCCACCACGAGTACTACTCATCAACAACAATTAGCGGTTTAGATTTAACGGCCGTGATTCGATCTCTATCTGTCTCTCTCGCTCTCTCTCTATATATATAGTTATATATGATTTTTGTTAATTAATTGAAAAGGGCACTTTAATTTTGTAGTACAAGAGCTTAGATGGATCATGAGTAATTGAAAAGGGCACTTTGGTCTTTGTTTGATGTGAACAAGAGCTACTTATTGATGATCTTTATGCTCTTTTCAATGGACTATTCATCATTTTTCATTATGTTGTCACATTATTTAGCAATCAAATTTTGGGTTTCTATAGTACTATGAGTAGTCAATGTGTTGGTTCTCTATTAATGTTTATTGTTTTACTCGTAAAGAACTTTCTTGGGTTGCATTCGGATGGGATAATTTGCGCATCAACGGAGGATTTGACGAAGGGATTCAAAGTGATTTTAAATGAGATAGGTTTGAAATTTGGGAGAATGACTAAATAAATCAATCGAAACAAGTTCATTGAAATTCTTAGTATAAAATCTAAAAATTCGTCTCCAAATCTTTCAAGCCAAATCAAGCCCTAGTTGGCAAATTATAGTCGCCTAAGTAACCTTTTTCATAAGAAGAATTACGGTGTGGTGCTAGTCGGCCTCACTTTCGTTGATATTTGAAATCGTTTTGGAAGTAATCTTTATTTTATTTTGGCGAAATATGTTTTGAGGGGACGATTTGAGAATAACAGTATTGTTTGTTTACAAAACAAAATTCACCGAGGAAAAATGTATTTCAGGTGAAGAACAATAAAGTGATGTTTATTTGTTTTTTAAGTGATTTTTTTTTTTTTACTGTAACAATTAAATCATGTCCGGAGGAGAGATAATTTTTTTAAATTTCTGTATAAATTGTTTTTGAAAAACTTAACAAACACGAATTCGTTTCCGAAACTAATAAAATTGGAACTGAAAACGAAACCAAACATTGAATATATGATTTTGATGTAATGGGCCGAGTACTTATGCATCTGAGGTATTCTTAAGATAGCCCGGCCCATATGCAAGAAATAAATATATTGATTACTGATGGGCTATAGTAAAGCAAGCTCCAAGCCCAATTAATTACTTAAGTTAATACCAATATTATTTTTAATATTAGATAAAACAGCACCCCATGTAGCCAATAACAATACATGCATAATTCCACAATATTTATTACATATATATTATTGACGCTAGTCATATGTACTAAGGACTAGCTACTCTTCCATGCATACTTTCAAACCCTAGATACCAATACATACATATATATATATATATATATATATATATAGACTATAGAGCTGCTCAAACCCTTTTTACAGCTTAGCCATGTTTGTTTTTGCGGCCAGATGCAGAGCGGTCGTCCGCGCCTCCGTTTCCACCAGCACCGCTGCCACTTCCACGACCACCTCCATGAGCGCCGCCGCCGCCGCTACCATAGCCATAGCCATAGCCGGATCCAGAGCCCGACCCAGACCCAGAACCAAACCCAAACCCTGAGCCCCTACCAAACCCATTAGGGGACTTCCCTGAACCCGACCCGTAACCCCACCCGGATGTTGGTGTGGCGCCCCAGCCCCAACTTGAGTCCCAATTCGGACCATGGTCCGACCCGCTACCTCCTGTTGGGTTTCCCGATGTGCCGTCACTAGGTGCACCGTTGGTTGTTTCCGACGAATCCGCGCCGCCGTCAGTCATCTTAGAATTAGTGACGGAAATCAAGAAGAGTAGAATGACAGTATATTTTAAAATTGAGGGATGCATTTTTAATTTATATATTATATATATGGATACTTGGATTTATTGAAAATAATAAAGGAAGTTGGCAAACTATGTTTTATGAGTTATGGTGTCGAGCAATTGATTGATGCAAGGACTAGGTATATATATAGTGGTGGTGGAATTATTTAAAATTGGACATTTTTGGGCAAGAGGACCCGTCACACACTAACATATCTTTGGGGGTGTAAAATGAAATAAAATAATAAATAAAGAAAAAAAAATAAGAAAATCAAATCTTGGGAGTGCACTTGTCGGAAGGAGGGAATTTGTGCATTTCCAGCCATGATTTGCACAACCGCCTTTAATAACAAATTTGTGTTGTAAACCACAACTTTTTTTAACAATTAATTAAATGGTCCCATAATGAAGAAATAATATCTTAGTTTTGGTTCATATATTATCGTCTTCTTCCACGATAATGATGCCCATTATGAATAACAAAGAAATAGTAAAGTAGATAATATCAAATGTAAAAAATTGAGTAAATTACACCTGCCCTCTTGTAGTATGCTAAAATAATTTTAAGGTCCCTATAGTATTGGTAATTACAACCACACCCCTAAAAAACAATTACCGGAACCAAGATTTCATATCCCAGGGACCGATATGCACTATAATTGTTTCCCGCGGGACCGTAATACTACCATAGACGAAAATTTATAAATTTTCTATAAAATAATAAGAATTTAAGAAATGTTACGAAAGTCGTGTCACCCCTAGTTCTATGTTGTCTCCACCATAGCCTGAAACTAATAGCTCGTTAGAATCCTAACAAAATAACTTATCAAATACATTATTCTGTTAGGGTTGCTATCAATGTTTCAGGGGTAATTGTAATTACTGATAATTCAGGGACCTCAAAGTTATTTTAGCATACCTCAGTGATGGATGTATGTGTTATTTACCCTAAAAAATAAGAAGAAGAAAAAAAACGCGCAACTTTTGAACAAGTTGATATCTGCTTGTGTACACGTGGTAACGTGAACCGGCAAGCAGGCTAGAGGAATTACGTCAGTCGCTATCTACACTGGGGAGTGATGCCAACTTAAATCCGTGCTATGCGTGACGTCATAAAATCGTTTTTTAATTTTCTCCACAATTCATCCAAAATCTTATCATATCCTCTACATATTTCTAAATTTTTACTGCCGACATATATATATAGACTAGAACTAGAATATAAATATATAAAAATACATATGATGGTTTTGAGATTTGTTGATGTAATGATGTTGTTCTAGGGTTTATGGAGTAGGCATTAATTAATAATAATGTTGTCTTATTCCTACTTATTGCCAAGTATGAGATTGACTATACACATTAATTTATGATTGCTTGGTACTTGAAATTTGTTTTCTAGATAATGATGTGACAAAATAATTAAGTTTGAGTGGCAAAACACTGTATTAAAGAAAATAAAACTGTAATAATAAAAAAAATATATTAAATTTGATGGGTGAAAGTGTGGTATATATATTATCCTTAAGGCATCTTTGGTTGGGTGGTTTGGACAGATAACTATGAATTTGATATTGTATACTGAGACTAAATTGTTGATTCACAGTGAGTAATCCATTATTTGGTTGGAGTTATGAGGGAGAAACTAATAATACCTGCAATAATAATATCATGTTTTGTTTGAGTAATAACACTGTTTTGTATGGATTTTTTAGGTAAATTACTGGTTGGTTGTATATGTATTACCCTTAGTTGAAACGCGTTACCAACACTACTTACACCGTTACACGGTTTTTAACCCATGCGGAGAAGGGCCCAATAAACAGATATATCAGTGGGCCTTTTTTGCCCTTACACGATAGAGGGGATCCACTTTTTTATGTGGCCCATATTACACACTCTTCACAAATTCACATTGGTTTATTTTATTCAATATTCGATTGGTAAATTACGTTTGCTCTATGAGATAAAGTCAAATTATATAAAAAAAACTCATTATATTTGTAAATATAGTCACCTCCTCAAAATGAATCTATCTTCTTTCATTCCACGTAATCCAGAAAATTCTGTTGAATTTAACACTATAAAGGTGGATGTATAAGAATATTCATAGTTGAAGAGTGGTTGTAATTATTCAAATATAATAGATTTTTTCGTAATTTAACCTTACTTACCCAATTTTATATGACAAATATATTCCAATTCCAAGTGATGGGAATTGGAATTAAGTATCATTTAAAATGTATATTTCCTTTTAAATACTATTCAAGGTAAATGCACACTATTTTCTAATCATAACATCATAATTAATAGCATCTATTTAGTAAAAAAGAAATTGAAACAAATTTACACTTTAAATATATATTAAGAAATTCATTAAATTATATATTCTTTCCACAAATATTCATTAATGGTAAATGACAAAATTAATTAAAAAGAAAAAATTGACTTAAATTATAGCTAGTGACAACTGACAAGTGTTACATATTTGTTTAGGTACTCTAGTGAGTAAATGACAGCCTATCAGTGCATGACACGTGGGTACCAACAAAGAACAATCTAGTGCTGAATTTAATAAAAAAGGGTAAATTACAAACACCCCCTGAGGTATGGTCAAATTATAAAAAACCCCATCTTGTTTGGATAATTACATCTACTCCCCTAAACTATGATTTTTTCTTACACATCCACCCTTATGGTGCCAAATTCAACATAATCATCTAGATTCCGTGGAATGTGCTCTAGTTTGTACTCGTTTTGTGTAAAAATACAGTTTTCGATGCACCACAAACTGATATATACAAGCTAAAAATCACATATTATGATCATCTTGCTTCATAATGTTGAGTTTGAATGGGATAAAACGGGTACAAAAGTGATAATATTTCATATAATCTCGAAGATTCCACTAAATTTGAGGAGTTGAGGAGTGGTTGTAATTATCCAAACAAGAGAGGTATTTTTGTAATTTGACCATACCTCAGGGGTGTTTGTAATTTACCCAATAAAAAATCAACGTAAAATTCTCACCACTCGGAAACCAACTCACCTCCGATACTCATCCTTGTCATCATCTCTGTCAACTCAACTGACAAAAAAAAGCTCTCAACCCTACATACCAGTAGGGAACACCTATTTTGATTTATCCGAAAAAAATGCTCTGTTCATTTCGATTTCTGACGGTTTCTTCTTGTGCAACGACGCCGTTCTACTCGTCCCACTCCAGATGCTACCTCCACGGAAAGCTTAATTCCAATTTGAAATGGCGATCCATGGCGTCAGACGCCGGCGCCTCTTCCTTTTCCCCTTCCTTTCGTTCTGATTCATCCGATGATAAAACCTCCGCCGGGTAAATATATTTCTGTTTGCTCTATTTATTTATTTTTTTTAATTTTGGGGGAATTGGCTTGGATTAATTTCAGGGGAATTTTGGATCTAGGTTTTGTATAATCGAAGGGCCTGAGACGGAGGATTTTGCTAAAATGGAATTACAGGAAATCCAGGATAATATTCTGAGTCGGCGAAATAAGATTTTTTTGCAGATGGAGGAGGTAATTAACTATTCAATTCACTAGCAGTTACTACTAGAATTACTGATGAGTAGTTAATTTTTTAAGTTTGATTTCTGTTTATTTTTATAATTTCGTTTTATTTATAGCACTATTATGAAATTTGGTAGGTTCGCCGGCTTAGAATACAGCAAAGAATTAAAAATACGGAGCTCGGAATTATAAACGAAGTGGAAGAAAACGAGCTTCCGAATTTCCCTTCGTTCATTCCGTTTTTGCCTCCTTTGGTAAACCCTTTTCGTTCTCAATCTATTTGTTGTTTAGAACTTGAGGAGTGCTTTATAGTGGTTTCTGATCGGTGTATTCATTGCAGAACTCGGCGAACCTTAAGCAGTACTACGCTACTTGTTTTTCTCTTATGGCCGGAATCATGCTTTTTGGTGGACTTATTGCACCCTTTGTAAGTTCTGCACCACTTTGTTGCTTGTTACGAGTCTCGAATACAATTGATGACTTTTTAGTTAGAAAATTTCAGTAGTATAAATAGTTTAATTCTGATCGATACATCGTTAATCATCATTACCTTTGTGATAACAAGGCCATATTCCAACACTTTCGCGTATGTTATTTCTGTCCTATTTCGCTTGATTTGACATGATATTGTTATTTAGTATGATTTTTTTATTTTATTATAAACTTGTCGAGTGACTATGCAATCATATCTTAACTTATCATTTATCAGTAGTTAAATTATTTTCGAAAATAGAAAAGATACAGTAGTAAAATCGCGGGCTGACTCGATTCACATGTAGAAAAAAATGAATGCAGTCTGATATAGATACGCTCAAGCTACTACGAACCTGTAGTAATGGAATAAATCTGAACCAAATACCTCAATAGAAAAAAATAATGGAGGATATTAATATACATATATTTTTTCCCCAACTATTGCTCTTCAAAATTGCTCATAGGTTCTAATCTTTTGTGAATGCGATTCTGTTTATTATATCAGTTGGAGCTAAAACTGGGAGTCGGGGGAACTTCATATAGTGATTTTATCACTAGTATGCATCTTCCAATGCAATTAAGGTTTGCTTCTTGAATTCTTTTATTTTATAATTTGATATGCTAAATTGTTCATTCGTGTTCTTATTTATTACGACGACCACTCGGTGAAATTTGCAGTGAAGTTGATCCAATTGTGGCATCATTCTCCGGAGGGGCAGTTGGAGTAATATCTGCATTGATGGTGGTGGAGATAAACAATGTGAAGCAACAGGAGCATAAGAGATGCAAGTACTGTCTCGGTACAGGTATTCAATCAAATGTTATAAGCTGTACATGTAAAATATATGCACATCTCGAGTTCTTTTCGTTTAATTAATGTCTAGCTTTAACCTAATATATTTAAATTGTTATTTATTTACAGGGTACCTTGCTTGTGCTCGGTGTACGAGCACTGGTTCTCTTGTTCTTATCGAACCAGTCTCGACGCAAAACGGAGGAGATCAGCCCCTTTCATTACCTAAAACAGAAAGGTGCTCGAATTGTTCAGGGGCAGGAAAGGTATTTTCTCATAATATTTTTCTTTTGCCTTGATATATGTTGCATTGAAAATTGTCGAGGATGTTCTAAAACGCATGACGTCATCTCTGGTTTGCAGGTAATGTGTCCGACGTGTCTTTGCACAGGAATGGCTATGGCGAGCGAGCACGATCCCAGAATTGACCCCTTCGACTGAGAATCGATTGGCTGTTCTTGGACTGCTCGGATGTGATGCTTCTTTCATTTACAAAAGTTAATTTGCCGAAACTTTCGATGAAATTATCGTGTGTATATATATATATATATAAAGTTATGGACATATACCTCAGATGTGTATATTGCCTGTTATGTGAGAGCAAAACCTGCTATGGCACCATTGAAATCGATTGATAGATAATCAACAAGCTTTCACATGCATTAAAAAAAAACGTAATAATATTGATGTTATATAAATATAATTTTGGAAAAAAAATTCACAATGTATGGAAATTAAAATCGGATCAGAAATTGAAATATAAATAATACAGTCAAACGACGAAAAATCTTGTACGAAAATCTTAGAATTTTGTATCATGGTCGGTGGAATTCGAAAAATTTCATCTCAACACTCTAATAAGTTGTGTGTGTGATACTTATGGTGCTTTTTTTGTAGTTTATTACAATGATTTGTAAATGATTACGATAATTTCTTACTTGAATTTGATAATTTATAGTTGATTTCATTTCGGTAATATAGTTGTTTTCGTACAACAATATAGTTGTTTTTACTATCTTTTAGTTGATGTTAATAAATAGTTGATTTAACAAATATAATAGTTGATTTTGATAAATGAGAGTTGTTGGAGATATATAGTTGTTTTAATAACAGTTGTTTAATATGGTTGTTTTTAACATTAGTTGTTTTAATAATAGTTGTTTTATTGAAATATAGGTGTTTTAGCTGAAGATAAAAAAAATACTAATTTTTTTTTTTAAATATAATAGAAAGTTATAAAAAATATTTTTTTTAAATATTATTTTTTAAATAAGAAATAAATAAATAAACGAAAATTAAAATTAAATTATAAAAATAAAAAGTGCATCTAAATATGGTAGAATAGGTAGTGAATAGATGAAGGGTAAATTTGAGAATAAAAAAAAGATGGGTCTCTTACTAATAAAGGAAAAGGAGCTGGACCCATGCTTATTAAAATAATGTTAGAGGGGGTTCTCACTAATAGTCCCTAAATAATAACAATAATAAATAAAGTGTCTAATAATTATCATTTTTCAAATAAATAAATTAATAATAATACTAAATAAAGTGTCTAAAAATGTTTTATTCCCGTTTTTCTTCTAATTTTGATCTGCCATAAAATCCAAGCGACGAATACGGTGGACTGTTGAGATGAATGCCCTGAGAGCATCATACGGAGATACTTCCTCCGATTCCGAATCCGAAGCGGATTCTGGTCCGACCCATATACCCGAACCGATTCAATCGGCCACCCCTCTTCCACCACCTCCTCTGTATCTTCTCCAGCCCCCAAGCTCATCAGGTGATCATCTTTTCCCCCATTTTGCCGGGGTTTTTTTTTTGCCCCCCAACTGTTTGATGTTTTGCCTGTGACAGGTTCATTTGATTTTCCAGTACAGACAGACCATACCAATCGAACCCGTAACTTTCCTCATGTTGAGGGTAATTACGCTTTGCATGTTTACATCCCAGGTAATATAAACAAACTTCTTTTTGTGCCCTTGATTGAGTAGTTTGCTGTTTATTTCAGTTTCATAAATGAATGATTAGAATCTGTTTGGTGGATTTAGTCACTATACCCGTTACACCGAGAAAGGATTTAGCGCTGTTCCTGAAAAGGGTTGCATCAGCAGTCCGTGAGCTTCATGTGGTTGACATAGACATCCCGTTAAGTAACTACGTTAAGGACGAGCAGAAAATCGAGCAAATTGTGTTAGGGAGGGAGTTTCATGTGAGTTTGGGAAGAACTGTTCCAATTCGGGTGCATCAACGAGACTCGGTAGTGGCTATGCTTCGACAGAGGCTACAGTCTCATAAGAGGTGAGTAGTGGATTGGATAATTCTGTTTTAGAGTTGATTTTCTAGCTTGCAGTTGATTGATTATCGATGTTCTTGAAATGGATGGATCAGGTATTGGATTGATTTTAACAAGTGGGAAGTTTTTGTCAACGATGATGGCACGCGAACATTTCTCTCAATTGAAGTTACCACGGGTGGCTTAGCTGAGGTAAGGTGGAACTATCATTGTATGTGCTTTCTTGGTATAAATTTAACTTACAATTCTGGTAAAAGCCGACTCTTCCTTCCCAAGCTGTAGGCTATAGAGTCGATTGAATTTTTACCTTCAGTTGACACTTTTTATGTCCTCGTTTAATTGCGAGTCTCGTACAAAGGCAGTGACCGTTTGAGTCGTTCTTTATTGTAAATGACGTGAGGCTTGTTTCTCTTTCTCTGGTTTTAGATAAGGAAGCAAATTCAATCCGTGAATGAAGTTTACAAGCTTCATAATCTTCCAGAGTTTTACAAGGTTGGTTTGACACATGGTTACATTTTTTTGCACTTTTTACGAATTACGGATTTTTACCTTTCAACATTCACAGGATCCACGTCCACATATATCTATAGCTTGGGCAGTTGGTGATATAAGCAGTTCTTTGAAGAGGGTAGTTGGAGAAGAAATGAGGAGACAAAATAATGCCATTGTTGGAGGGTTATCACAAAAACGGCTTTTTACCTGCAAATTTGGTGGCATTTCGTGTAAAATAGGTAACAAAACATACGAGATATGCAAAGTTCAGGAAGAATGACCGAGCAGCTTCGTAAATCTTCTATGCAATTTAACGATATGCTGATATTCCTCATGCTAATAAACAAAAAGAGCAAATCTAAGGAAAGCATTTCAGAAGTCATTTGTTGTTTACGGAACAATACTGTGTTCGTGCGAAATCGGTTCTCACCCCAGTAATTATTCTAAGATTTTTTGTAAAATTATGACATTGTGTCTTAGTTCTTCTGTATTGGTTCATCTGATTTCAGAACGTTCGGAAAAAAAGTCTATTGATAGTTGCATGGAAAAGACGATACGAAACATGTGCTCGATCATCGTATGTTGTGTTAGAAAGTAATGTGATAAAATAGAGATTAAAGATATTATGCAAAGCACAAAAGTAAAAGCACATCTAACAATGTATTATTACCCAATCCAAGAGTGTATTGAAAAACAGTGATACAAAATACTTGCAGAGCAGAAAATATAAATCACCATTTTGTAACCGGCAGACTTTGACCAAAAGTCAGTTATGACATCTCTCTTATCTACTACTCAATGTAAGAGTTGAAGGTGCAATTTATTTACAGACCATCATAACAATAACAATAACAATCTGGGCAACAATTAATTCAAGTAGAGATCTATTCTTACTAAGCGATAATTTTGTCATGAGGACACAAATCATCATCGAATCCGTCATAGGGATCGTGGACACAAGTCAGTTGCCTGGAAATAAATCTGAATTTTAAATGCCAGAAACCAAGACCATAAATCTGTATTAATTTCATGTCTCACTGCTGAGCCAAGGAAAAAGAGATGCTCAGAGTCCGGGTATTGATTCAAGATTGTATTTCTCAGAATTTGAAGTTTCGTTCTCTCGGTTATCTTGCACATCTGGCTTTTTCATGGCATCCAGAGTTTGTAGATACGTGTAAGAAGCACTTCGACTAGACGAAGGACCTGGATTGCTAATTCTACTGGCAAGGAACCGACGAATCAGGCCCCTCAGAAATGGGGCCATGGTATCTGGTTCGTGCTCTAGGTAGTACATGATTCCACCCATACATGCGCAGAATAAAGCCACCTAGAAAAAGAAAAAAAAAACACTTATGAGCTCGGACTTGAAAACATTTCACTTGTAACCTTGAACAATTAATCATTTAAGACTTTTAAGTATTAATTAACTAAAAAAATTGTGCAAAAAGTCTTCACTAAGCAATTAAGCATCACTGACTAATCCACTCTTCTCACCGAATCCATTGTTAAAGCATATTAGGGCATTTTAATGGGCCATGTTAACTTCCCTAGCGAAAATACCTCGGCATGCTTGATTTTTGGAAGCAAGCGGCGATTCACCAGAATATACCACAAAGATTCTCCAGCTCGTGGAAGAACATACAAGGCCAATTCCCCACGCCTAGCTTTCTTCTCGAGTAATACAGAGAGGGCAGAAATACCTCCTGCAAGCCAATATACGAGCTTGTGGTCCTTCAATGCCACTTTCCTGTGCAAACATATTACTCCCTTTTATTTTAGGGAGAAATTGATGAGTGCCAGTTAGTTATCATGGGTGTACACGTAGATGCAAAAAGTAGCAGACAGAAAAAATTACCTGAAAGATACCAACGAAAGCAGACAAGAATGACGTTGAGCGAACAGCGCCTCTAAGAGCATGCCAACAGGTGCGGGTAGGAGCATCCATGAACTATGGGAATAGAAAAGAGAAGTGGAAACAATAAAAATCAACCCGCACAAATTCCATTATATATATATATATATATATATATATATATATATATATATATATATAACACACACTCCGGCATTAATTAGAATATACCCAATGTTTACTAGTGTAATTGTTGGACAATAAATGCAAAAATAAAATTCCGTTTTCACACTAGAAATGGGTGGTCGATGAAAAAATATTCTGAAAGATAACTATATTTCTTAAAGATGAGGTTGATAGTGATGCTATGTTCTGAAATATGCAACGCACAAACTACAAAAAATCTCTGCTCGAGACTAGAAGTTTTTAAGTGTAATCTCGTGCTGGAATTGATGAAATAGAAGCGACGGAGCTGGGAACGGCTTCTAGCTCAAAGTACTGTAAATTACTAAAAAATGAATTGATGTTATAAATTATAAAATGATATACCTTTTGTAGGCGCAAAACGACGAACGGGACAAATGTCAAAGAGAAATATAGAGGAAACGTCTTCCTAAAAGTAGCTTTGGCAGCATTCGCATTGTGAAGTAAGCACGAGTTTGTATCAGGGTGAATGATAGAGCATGGAATAATATTGGGAAACTCTTCTAACTTCAGAGTGTTGGATACCCTTTTACTGGACAAGAAAGCAGATAGAGAAGCAACATCTACTGCAGAACCTCTACAGCAGTCCCTCACAGCCTTGTACACAGGGGCAGCAACTGGCCCTGTTTTCTGAATGAAATCTTGATAGGATTTTGGCAAGCTCTCAGGACGCATAACAAAGGCATACATGACCTGAGAAGTTGTTACAATTAGATAAACAAGGAACTAAAAAAATCGTACAAAAGAATAAAATAAAATGAAACGAATTGGGAGGGGAAATATATATAGAAAAAGTCCAAACCATAAGGTTTTTGTAAATTACCTGCGCACAAGCTATTGAAAAGAGTAGAGTATCCCCATGGCTCCAATGACTTCCCCAGAGGTGGAATTTGTTTTTGGATTTGGCCGAGTTATATGCACACTGATTAAAAAAATCACAGAATTAAATCAGATGGAACCAAAAGTTTGTGAAAAACTATGAAAATAAAGAAAGACATAGTGCACCTGAGCAACTCTAGCCAAAAGATATAAAGCAAGTGTGCGCCTTCGGCTGGAATCATCTAAAGCTAAAATAGACAAACCGGAGATTGCACCTGCTAAAATTCTGTTCCATCATCCCCTTTAACAAAGTCATGCAAACGGAATTGGATAAATCTTGCAGTAAAAAAATAAGGCTGAATTTTGTGTGACGAATATTCAAAGTCTAGTTTATGTAAAGGTGTCGATAACATAAAGTAACATGTATAAATCAGAAATGAAATGCATGTTTATTGTTAACTCACGCATTTACTGGAGTCTCTTTCTTTCTCATCTTTCTCAGCAAACACCTCAGAGCATGGTAGGAACCAGTGAATCCACCAAAAAGCAAACCAACACGGCATGCTTCCTCTCTGACTATTAGGTCTTTCTCTGATACAAGTTGCTGTAATCAAATCGATAAAACATATCATATATTAAACCATAAAATACCACAGTCACAACTCACATGTAGATAAAAGGAAGAGGATCAGGGATGGGGGCAGGTTTATTATTATCAAGACATCGGCTGCTGTTGTTAACATAACATTTTCATAAATGGAAACGATAGACTTTCAAAAATAATAAGCCAAAACAAGAGAGAAGGATAATGTAATAATCCCTTCAGCATATCAATTATTTATTTCTAAGAAGTCAAATCCCATTACAAATGGGAAAGTAGGGAAGGGGTGAGACTAAAACCCTAGACCTTGAACTAATAATAAAGGCTCGGTACATACTACTTCAACATATCACTCACAAGACAATCCAAGTTGAAGGATTGAATACTAAGCCTTGAAACAAATGAAAAAAGAAAACGAGTTCTAGACTTGACAATTTCAATACAGCGCACAGACATTCCATGCTTCAAAATTCATCTGCAGGCGAAAAAGTGTGACAAACAGCATGATAGAGTAACTATTAACCCCAACCCACCCCAAAACAGCAATCCGATCCATCAATTGCCTGAAAAAAAATAGTTCCATCACAAGTGCTTCAGTTTCTTCCTCAGTAAAAATCTATCCTCACGATTTCGAGCGTTTTGTCGTCCGACCAGCTGACCTTCAATTCTAGTCTATGTCCTCTTAATTTTTCTCTCTTTACAACAACATCAACTAAATCCAATAAAGAAGTCAACACCAAGCTTTCAAATCAGCCTTCTTCATCTAACGAGTGGACTTCCAACTCTTCCAAATTTATTGATGAAAAAATGGAATTCGAGAGACTGTTCTACTACACCTAATGCATCTAAAATTAATTAGATATATTTATAAGAAAAGTTATTCAGGTTGAAATATCATTGCCAGCTGCTCAGCATATCATGATCCACCAAATCGAGGGTTTGAATAACGAACTCCATCACGATCTGGATTTCGTAGCCAATCAGGCGAAAAATAAGTTCAGAGAGAGAGAGAGAGAGGACATTGTCAAACCTTGATATCGAGGAGAGAAGAATATGACTTGAGCCGAGCGAGCTTAAATGCGCGGAGGAGAATTCCGATGCCGACGCGAATACCGTAAGAAAGCAGAAAGCTCTGACACAGATTTCCGACGGCATTAGCGACGCACGACTCGTCGGCGTGATCGCACGGCGGGTAGAAATTCTCAGGCGGGCCCCTCTGACGGCGCTGCAGCTCCGCTATGGCCTCCTTCAGGCGCTGCTCCGCCTCCCTTAGACGGCGCTCCGCTGCTTCCGCCGTGGAAGCTGCGTCGGCTGACTGTTGCTGCGGCGGCGGCGGCGGCTGCGGAGAGGTGCGCATTTTAGTGCAAAATAGAGAGGTTTCAGCATCTGAGACTTCCTTTTTTGGTTATGCGTGCGGAAGCAAGGTCATTTTATATTTTTTTATTTGTTTTGTTTTTTTTTATTTAATTTAATCGGTATGAATTATGATTTAGTTATATGGGTTCTCGGGCCAAACGTCTATTTTACCCGACCGTTTCGGACGGTCGGGTAATTTCAAATGAACCGAATTTTATCGGGTTCGGCTACCCGGGGCTCATAAATCGGATATGTTCGCGATTACACTTTAACCACTAAATTGGAATTTTCTGCATCTTTTCACCTCTTTGCAAATTTAAAGGTTTCAAGGGGATTGTTGTAATATTGATATAACATTATTTTTTTTATTGTAATATTATTTTGTAAATTATTGTATTACAATTTTATTTTTATTTTTTGACAAAATTGTATTACAATTTCAATATTAGTAATTTTAGGGCTGGGCACCGGTCGATTTTATCGGCCTACCAAACCACTTTTTTTAGTCGATAATTTCTTTTGTCGGGCAGGTCATTTTAAGCCATCCTCAATAAGTACCGCCGACGAGCTGGAACTTGTGATTGTTCGACCCGATTTCATTACTCACCGGCGATTTCTTCTAACAGTTGCGAGATAATTGTGTCTGATTTTTTCGTCAAATGAGAAATTGAAATAGGAGATTGTTTACTGTGGGGCATATATTATATATATATTTTTCTTTTCCATTTTGATTATTTTGAAATATTTTTAAAAACTTACAGGAAACATTTATAACATGAAATTGTGAATATGACTATATGAGAGTGTTCAAGATTTATTTATATTTAATATACATTTTTTAAGTATTTTACCATTTTTAAATGTTCCTATAAGTATAATTAATCTGTCAATATTTTGTTCCACCAAAAAACACAAAACGGTGTAGTTTTGTTGATTATGTCTACATTTGCAATTGTGTTAGCAAAACATACAAAATAACAGAAATGTAGCTGAATGGTCACTTTTTCTTGCTAATAATAATTTGTTCTTTTAAAGCATCCGGATCTTGCCACGACGACTGCCATTGCTTGTCGTAAAAAGTAGCCTCATCGACAAGCTTTCGTATATTCTCAACATCTTCTTTCCTCCGAAAAACGAGCACCCCAACAATCGTGACTAAAAGTGCTGCCTTACAAACAAAATTCCCAGTTTGCCCCACCAAATCCAGCCCCGTCAAACCATCCACAAAATACGCCATGAAAAATCCCACCATCGCAGCTCGTCCTGAAAAAAAAAAATCTTGAATATTTACGCGTATTTTTATTACACAGATGTATGCATGCATTGCACGTATGTATATAAATTGGGATTTCGAAGTTTTAACCATTTAGCCGCTCTGCTTCAGGAAGATGAGAACGAACGATCCAAGCCCACCACGGTATTATAGAGCTTCGAAATAGCACTGGCTCTTCGTTTACCGATGATTCTGGATACACTTGAAGAATTTTTCTTCTCTTTGCTTCTACAATAATAATCAGAAATAAAAATTAAAAAAAAAAACGAGATTATTACGCATTTCTAGAAATTAGTACGCTACGATCGATCCCTTTTTTCTAATTAACAGAGCGTTATTTTTATATAATATGTACATATATAAATATACCTGCTACAATGACAGAATCCCAGTCCATTCTACCGTTTTTCACGAACATGTTGAGATCCCATGTCCCGTTTTTCCATCTCTCGTCAGAAAATCTCCGATCTGAATTTGATAATTGTTCATCTGGATTCTCGGGGTGGTGGATTCCATGTTCGAGTTCCTTTGGATTGTGACTGGTAAGTAATTGAGAATGATGAGAGTTGTCGGTTTTTTCGGATAATTTCGGAACGACAACATTGGCTGCTGTATGAGTTGTTCGTAAAGCGCGTCCGGTTGTCGCCTGAGTTGATAGTTTCTTGGTGCAAGCTCTTTGTATGGAAGCAGTAATAATACCAATGGATGCCATTTACAACAAAAATTAAAAAACAAAGGCTGTGTTTTTTTTTCTTCTATTCTTTCTTTCTTGGGAGAAAAAAAGGTACTGATGGATAAGAATTAAGATATAGCAGAAAAGCCCATGCTTTCTTGGTAATTAAATAAGCTTATCTTCTGCCCATTTTATGCTCTCTCTCTCTCTCTCTCTCTCTCTCTCTCTCTCTCTCGCTCTCTCTCTCTCTCTCACACACACACACACACACAGACAAAATGGAGACAGATTTCTGCCATAATTTTTCTGAGTGCACCCATGTTTAGCAACTAGGAAACTTGAATGCTAAGTTTTGGAATTTACTGAAATTAACAAGCTAACATAGAATTGATGCATATAACTGTAAATCTTGTAGCAATTACTTATATAACATCAGAATTTCGTCAAAGGTTCACTCCGATAAATAGAGACGAGATTTACGAGTAGTAAAATGGAGATAAGTAGACAAGATAAAGCTTAGTACAATAGAGAATACATTTGTTTCTTGATTTCACTAAAAAAAAAAAAAAAGGAACAACATAAAAAATAGACTCAACAAAGGACGCCGTTCGTTTCAGAAATTAAACACTAACCGGATAGTTTTTTATTTTTTATTTTTTATTTTTGCCGTTTTTTTTCTTCATCGTCTTCAAATAGTCGAGAAAATGCATGCGGAGATGATTTTTTATTTTTTTTATGCTTCCCAGCCCCTAAGAAGAGTAGCACGAGCAACGCGGTTGACCCCCAACGTAAAGGCCCCCATGCGAAGGTTGCAGTCGTGAGACTGACACATGCCCTTTATATTATGAAATGCCTTTGTCATATATCTCTTTAGTTCTTGATTCACCTTCTCTTCTTCCCACATAAACCCCTGAATGTTCTGCAAATACCCCAAACGAAATAAGTTACGTCAAAATAAATATATACGCAAACGAGAATAAATTCATGATTTTCTTTTTATTACCTGAACCCATTCAAAGTAACTAACGGTCACTCCTCCTGCATTTGCATATATATCAGGGAGTATTATAACTCCCTTTTTCGACAAAATCTGTACAAAAATATCGACACTTTCTTTATTATAACTAAGTGAAGAAATTATTAAGAGATCAGTGCAAAAAAAAAAAAAAAATCGGTACCTCATCAGCATCTGGATCGGTGGGATGATTTGCCGCCTCGATGATGAACTTTGCCTTAACATCTCCAGCATTTTCTCTTCGATGAAATGAAATAAACGGCACTTCTCAGCAAGGCAAAATTACCAACCAAATCGTTTAGAAGAAATATTTTTTGAAAAAAAAAATGATAAAAAAATACCGGTTAAGTACTCCGCCTAAAGCACAAGGTATAAGAACATCACATTCATGAGTGAGCACATCGTTCGAGTCCATTGAATCAGCACCGTCGAAATCGGTCAACTTTCCCGTTGACTCTTTATGCTGAATCAATGCAGGTATATCGATTCCGTTGAGATTCTTCACCGCTCCAGTTATGTCACTCACTGCAATAACCTTGCCACCTTTTTCGTGTATCAGCCTCGAAGCCCACGACCCCACATTCCCGAACCCCTAAATAAAATACCCGAAATTCAAATTCAAGAAATCCCACTAAAAATAGAGTAAATAAATCGAGTCGAAATTTACTCGATAGAAATAAAACCTGAATTGCGAATGTTAAACCCTTTATCGACTTTCCATGCTCGGCTAGTAACGCTTCGGTGGCATACACAACTCCACGCCCAGTTGCCGCCTCCCTACCCAACGAACCGCCAAGATCCTTACATTACGAACACAAATACAGTTAAACCTCTATAAATTAATACAGTCGGGACTAGGGAAATTCTATTAATTTAGCGAATTATTAAATTATCAAGTTAATAATTTAACACGTTTTCACCGAGTCGGGACCAAGAGAAACTATTATTTAATCGAGGTTATTAATTTGTCGAGTATTGATTTATCGAGGTTCTACTGTATGTTACTCAAAAATATAAATTAAATAAATAAATAAATAGTTTTTTTTTAGGATTTTTCACTTACGATTGGTTTTCCGGTGACAACTGCAGGAGAGTGGCCGTGAAATTTCGAGTACTCGTCCAAAATCCAAGCCATTGTCTGCAGACGACAAATATAATCAGAGCGCTACGAAACGAGTGATTTAAAGAAACGTAAATTGGATTAGATTAATAATATTCACCTGAGCATTAGTTCCCATATCTGGTGCTGGAACATCAGTATTAACTCCGATAAGATCGTGAATTTTTTGCGTGAAAACGCGCGTGAGGCGTTCCAATTCGCTTGTACTTAGTTCCTTCGGGGTGCACCCTATGCCGCCTTTAGCACCACCGTAGGGAATATCTGCTACAGCTGTCTTCCATGTCATCAGTTGAGCTAGAGCATTCACCTCATCGGGGTCAACCTTTTACCGATAAATTCGAGTCAATAAATCACGGTACAAACTAGAATGAAATAATATTACACAAATCAAACACATAAGAGGAAACAAATAATTAAAAATAATGACATTTTACGAGTCATATCCAAATCGGAAATTATTTAATTCAAGATCCTAAGATCAGCAGGCATTTCAGCATCATAAAAGAAGAATTGTATGTTAAAAAACGCATTCGATTTTCATCGTCGATTATCGGCTTTTTACGCACAAGTTTATCAAGAAACAAGTATCACTATACAAGAGAAATACAGAATTATTACAGAAACAGCAAACATAGGATGAGTAAAACTAATACCTCAGGGTGGTATCTGATCCCTCCTTTCATGGGGCCACGAGCATTATCATGCTGCACTCGAAATCCAACGTACGAAACCAGGGTTCCATCATCTTTCGGGATTGTGCATTCCACCTGATCAAAACCCAATTTTTACCATACAATCTTTAAAAAAAATATATATAATCCCCATCAATCTTTACCCCAAGATAATCAAAACTTCCGAATCTTTTTCAAAATCCCATTTCGGTAAATACTTCAAAAAAAAAACCCAATTCTTTTTTTTTTTTTAATTACAGGTTACATATATGATCAAATACCCAAAAAAAAAAAAAAAAAAAAAAAAAAACCTTGATTTCTCTGAAAGGGATCAAAAGGCTCCTCTCGATCTTGGAATCGAGGCCAAGAATCCGAGCCGCCTGACGGAAGTTGCGGTTGGTGGCGGCAAGAGCATTCATCTCCAAAATATACAATTAAAATTCGTAACAACTGAAAAAAACAACCCGATTAATCAAACCCTAATTAGAACAGAGCAAAACGACGATTCAAGAAACAGAGACTAAAATTGTCCGGATTCGATGTATGTAAATACAACAACGTTAATAACTTGAGGCTGTTACATGTTAGCTTCATATGCATGTTATATATACAATGGGGGGGTGGGGTGGGGGGTGCAGGAAGGACAGCTAAAACGTAATTAAATTTTGTTAATATTTTAATTGTTTACCTTAAAAAGGTGATTATGTGGGAAATATTATCCGTTTCTGAGTCGATGATGACTTGGCACTTGTGAATTTTGAAAATAATAAACTATATCCAATTTCGACTAAATTTGGGCTGAATTTGAATTTCGGACACGTAAATAGAAGTTTGTTACTGTCACGTAAGTTTTAATTGGGTTCGTGGTAATTGCTATTCTAAATGTTGTAGCTGAATAGGAGTTTGCTATGACCTAATTAAATTTGGTTATTTCATGGTTTGATAAAATTAGGTTGTTTATTTGATTCGATAGAATTAGGTTAAGGTTTTTATTTACGGTGAAAGTTGGAACGAAATTTCCAATTTATGCCTGTTTCGATCCAAAAGGTTTCGATATTTGGAATACTATTTTTTATTTCGATTTTCGAAATTCTGATTATACATTTTATGATAAAATTAAATATACCGTTTTTTACGCTCATCATACATTTTGTGGTTCTTATCCAATATTATTGATTTTACAATATTTTTATGTTTTCTTTGGTTACTTGTAGTTATTTTCTTTGTTGTGGCAAAGTTCAATATTGAGTTTGCTTGTAAGAAGTGAAGTCTTGAAAACTAGATTCGAATGTCAAAGTTTGACACAAGTTTGAAAGTTCTCCCACTCATTTTCCAGGAAATAATTTGTGTTAAAACTTTTAAAATAAAATTTATAATATACAAACAAACATCAATTCATTTTTATTTTTTTTACATCAAAATACTTTTCCAACATCTGAGTGTAAACATTTTTTCTTTCAAAATAAAAACAAATGTTACTCTTTTTTTCTAATTTTTTTTTTTTTGTCAAAACCAAATGTAACAAGACCCCAACCCCACCCCCCCCCCAAAAAAAAAATTATCTTGTACAGTTTTGACCTTTGACTCCTGATTTTTTTATTATTAAATAAGGACGCGGCGAAACGCTGGCGAAATAGATAAAAGCACTCAAAAAAGTCAACGTTTTCAACAATATTAAAAAAAAAAAAAAAAAAAAAAAAGAAAGAAAGAAAAGGAACACATGAAACCAAGAACAATTAGATGACAGCAGGGGCTGTTCTTATCTGTAAGAACAGTGGAACCAATTAAAAGTAATCTGCAGCAAATGAATAAACAAATATTTGAATTAATAAGATGGAAGCTGGTAGGTGTTAACCCAGGCAGTTTCATTCAGACTTAAATGCCACACCTGCTTTAACCGAAACCAAAACCAAGAAAACCGAAAAACGAAATACACACTTCACCGAGTGTAGCATAGATATCTGAATAGAAATGCATTCAAGTATATTAAGCCATAAATATTTGACACGGTACACGAACATGCCGAGAAATTTCTGGACACATAATGATCAGGTTGATGCACCGAATTATAAAAGTACATACATTACATGCTCGATAATATGAGGTCGGGACAACATGAACAAACACCTAAAGAAAATAAAGACAACAATAAAACAACCTAGCTATTAGTTTTTTTAATCCATTTGTTGCCTATAAGTTATTGTAGTTGGATGCAGCTAATGACATAATGTTACAACTGAAGTCGAAAAAGGAGTTTTCAATATCAAACTAAATCTGGCCTCTCGCTATGCCTCTCGATAAATAAAATTAAAAATAAAAATAAAAATATGCCCAAGTTATCAAGGGAAAGGTATAAATTATAAGCAGGTACAATTGAATGAAGGTCAATTGTTTGTCCATATTCATTCCCTCTATCTTACAGCAGGTCGGCCATCTCGGAAAGATGCTGCTTTCAGTATGGCCTGTAGCGCATAGGGCGCCTGAACCTTGGAACCCTCCTGCATATGACAAACTTCACATCAGAATTCCAACTAGATATGGTAATCGAGCGAAAAATAAAAAATAACGTCCATTCAACGAATCAATTTGAACGTTTGAGAACTAGAACAGGACTAGTGGTGGTCGGTTTTAGTGCCTCAAAAAGACGAAACAATTGAAATTGGAATCGTGTTCATGTTAAGTATAAACTCCAACGATGGCAAGTAACTAACAAGTGATCTTCTGATCTCCATTTATCTCTCACACACACACACACACACACACACACACACACACACACACACACACACACACACACACACACACACACACACACATATGCATAAGGGAAAGCAGAACTGAGGCAAATATGTACAGATAAAGCACACTCATTGGAGAAGTTTCTTAGGACTACCGACTATTTCCAAGTGAAAAGCACAAGCAATATTACTCACCCATAACCATAAGGAGGGTAAGCAGGTGGACCAGGCATAAAAGGCCTTCTCGACCCAAAATATGGATTTGGACGTCTTCCTCGGTATTGTTTCATTCCAGGAACATTAGTTCTCTTGGCAGATACCTGCACAATCCCAAATATGTTTAGTTTGTGTTAGTGCTAGCAAATATTTCCTTGCATCTATGTTAAGACCAAGATAAGAACAAAAACCTTCAGCTGACGGCCGTGCAGTTCGGATTCATTTAGTAGCACAGCATTTTGAACTGACTCGACCTCCACAAACTCTACATAAGCAAAACCTTTGGGTTGACCAAACTTGTCGGTCAAGATAGTGACCCTGTTTACTGTCCCACAAGATTGAAAGTGCTGCTGCACCTCCTCAGGTGTACATGCATAATCCACCTGTAATTGGAGACAAATAAGCTAAAGGATTAATCGATTAGGCTAACCAGAAAAACATATGCAATCCTTACAGAAATGCAGTGATTGTCTGATTTTAGCATGATGCATGAATTTATCTTTTCAGCTCAGTCATGGAAATGCTTTCAAGAATCATGACCAAATGCCCTCTATGGCCTCTACAAGTTTTATAGTCAGTAGTGCATGTCATGCTAGTATGCCAGTTCTACACACACAGTTGAACATAAAACCCTGATAGCAGAATCTGTCTGAAGTGTGAATTGATCATGCAAGCCGTGCAGAATAAATCTTCCAATATCAGTGGAAAGAAAATATTATAGTACCTCAAGATACCAAAGAATTACAAAACTATCTCAAGCATCTACTGGTAATCTATCCTCGCCCGCTAGCATTAGCAGCAGAAGATGCACTTAACTTATCACGTTTAATTTAAGCAATAGATAAAACATTTATCCTAGCATATCGACCCAATACAAGTTGATATGATATAGACTTGAACACGCAATCTTGTCTTACTCAACTTTCTTTTTCAAAAACCCATGGCACTTTAAAGAGCAAAAGCATAAATTTGCTTCTTATTGAAATGGAATCAATAAATTGGACAAAGAGAGAAGAATAAGAAACTCACATTACCAACATATATGGATCGAGCATCCACCTCTTCCTTTTCAGCCTGGTTAGCAGATCCACCTGTTGAATCCTCTAACAAGCACAAAAAGAGAGAAATAATCTTGTAAATCACAAGTTCAATGGCATAGTGATCAGCAGAATAGTCATGCATACATAATATTATTCAATTCAAGAAGCAGAATTGCCCTTCCCCACTTAATGTGAGCATTAGAGCAGAGAAAGTGATCATCCTTACAATAGCCAACTCGTCTTAGCTTGTGATTTATACTATTTGTTTTTCATTAAAATAGATGCTGAATGAAATAGTGGTAGGTCAATTTGTAAGTAACAATATAAATATCCAATCATGAGTTAGTATGTTTATTTTTACCAATAAACTGCATAAAAGGCAAAATGATTGAAAGAATATATAGCTTGACATGAAACTATTGCCACATTCACTACTTTATTTTTCAAAATTACCCACAAAAGGGACAAAGGGATGAAGTTATCTACCCCGACGTGTTAAAAAAATATTACACGAATAATATAAATATTATTATGCATTTTATGTTTAGAGGTTACTAAAAACTTGGATTCCGAATTCGGTCGATTCTGATCCAAAAATTTCCGATTTTGGAACAATTTTTCTAAGTCCAATTTCCAAAATTCCGATTTTTCCGATTATTTTGGAACAGAATTGGAATTAGTTTTTCACTTCCCAAAAAAATCATGTTTTTTCCAAAAGTACTAATTCCGATCCGATCCGATCCGTCCGATTTCCACCTCTAGAACTGACCAAAAATCCAAAACAGAAAAGAAAAGAAAACATAAATAAGAAAAAAACTACTCGATGAATAAGGAAAGGAACATTGCTCAAATAGTATCTCTATAGCTAGATCTCTTCACGATACCCTAAAATCATCGACCTTATAAGGAAAAGCAAGAACCTGATCACTCTTTTCGCTATAACTTTCAGATCTAATCAAAATGAGGTATCTTGACATAATCCGCGAGTGTGAAAACGGAGGTAAGACAATTAAGGAGAAAATAAAATAAATTCCATGGTGGTACGAAAAGATTTCATACTCCAAGAACTGAAATCAAACATAAAATTTACATACTTCCGCTGAACCGCGAAAGAGAACCACGATAACCCTTCATGACTTGCGAAATCACAGATTCAGTCTTACAGAGAAGTTACGCACGGAAGGATTTCTAAGAACTCCTCTAACGCTTATATGTGAATTCGTCAAATAGATTAATAGGCTTATTTAAAGATGGCAGAAGCGAGTGCCAGAAATTTCAAAAGGTAAGCGAAATTGGTGGAAAGCAAAGAAACAAGGTATTCGGCGGAAATTACAAGGGGCTGCATACGATAAATGCACGAGAAAGGTAAGTGATTGGATTTTATTAAGAAAAGGGGTAAGTAGTAAAAGTAAAAACAATACAATCCGTAAAATCTACAAGAAAATATTGTAATGCGACTCAGAAAGGAAAATGTATATCTAACCGGCATTGATTCACATAATCAGACCCATTATTTTGCAAATTGCATAAATCTTCTCGAGAATTCTTATATCATTGTGTCATAATTGTGCACCGTAAACTTACCGTGCACGGTAAACTTCATTTACCGAGTTACCGTGAAAAGGCCTGGTAAAGGTTCGAGTCATGTAACTGACACCCTAAAAGCACACCGAAAACATTCAATACAAATTAAATTCCACAGTTATCTACACCCCCCATTGACTTTTGTTTTTCACGTTCACAAGTCTCTCATCATAGCAATTCAAATCGTACTGTAATTATTGCTTCAAAACAAAAATCTCACTTACAAATTACAATCTATCAAATAAATAATCTCCACCCCACCAACCTTTTACATCTAGCATTGTTTATTAATACACATACTCGGACTTAAAGGCATAATTAGACATAAAAGAGAGACGCTAAGAGTGAGAGGGGAATGAAAATAAAGGAGAGTGGAGGGGAAATAAATAATGTTTCTCAGAGTGAGAGAGGATGTGTGAGTGCAAGAGAAGGATCAGAAGTTGAAAGGCGAGATATCTCTAACACACATTTAAGATTTCACTTTGAGTAGTCTATGATAAGCACATTTTGACTCAAATACTAATATTTCGAGTAGTCTATATGCATAAAACTAATTACTCCATAGGTTTCTGTAACTATATGAATTATGAGATGTGTGAGTGTGTGTGTGGTTGTGCGATGAATAAACATACATGGGTATGTCTTCGGAGGTTTTTCGCCCTTAGTCGAATTAGTAGTTCAAATCTAAATTAACATTCTAAAATGCTAGGACTTGACGATTTTATTACCCTATACCTTCTTAAATCCTAGTAGAATCTTAATCCAAGCAAAACCCTTCAAGATTGGAAGTAAAATCCTTAAAATCTAAGATTGTACTAGGTTATAAAGATTTTATATTTGGATTAGAATGGGGCTACGATTGGATTTGTTGGTCAAGACCGATTGGTAAGCCCAAAATAACTAATCTTGAAATTGGAAGAAGACCGAACCCTAGCAAACAACAAACAAAAAAGACCAAGGACTAAATTTGTTAGGATATGCTTTATATATGTTGAGACATATAACATTTTTCATGTTATTTAAATTTACAAGATGTGTAAAAAATCATAAAATTTTAGGATCCAAATTTACGATTACAGATTCACAACTCCCTTCCGGTACACTTAAAATCCCAATTTTGACTACCGTAAAATTTCACTGAAAAACACAAGTAGGGAAAGATTGTTCCGGATACATCATGAGGGTGTTCCCTTTCGTGATCTTATAACAAAACACCAAGATTTTCTTGAACTTTCAATTTTCAATAAGCTAAATTTAAAGTCGATCACTATAGTTCAAAGTGGCGGCATCAACAACCAAATTAGACATAGCCAGTTTCAATATCCGTAACCAAATCAGAACTACCATTTCATTAATTAAGTTCCTGCGACGGCTACACGTCACAGGCAAGTTCTACCAAGAAAAACCTAAACAGTAGAAATAGATCTTCCAAACAATCAAAATATTTAAAAAATTAAACTAATGCAAACATCATGATCACAAATTCACGTGCTCAGAGTATGTAAGAAAACCTTGATTCGAAACCATCTCCTTTTCGACCTTAGCCTGCATTTCGCGAAGTGCACCTGCTTCTTCCTCAATTTCCTGCAATCTCTTCTTCATACCCTCCAACTCCTACAGAAAATTGAAACACCAACAAAATCAGACACATCCCAAACTAGTATGAACTTCAATTACATGCCTACACTCTACAATTACTAAAGCAAACATATTTAACATTAAATACCTTAGATTTGGAGTCCTCAGCAGCTTCGGCATCGGCAGAAGGGTCGAAATCGGACTCCATGTAAGCATCCTCAGGCACATCGCCGCCGTAAACGTCGTCGTCTTGTTCGTGCTGCGCCTGATGCTCCATCTCCTGCCTCTCTCTCTCTCTCTCTACAGCTGGATTTTTTTTGCAGGAATCGCCGCCAATTGTCCGCGTTTGTGAAACAGTGCAACGGACGACAATTAGGGCAGTGCGGAATGTGAATTGGGGTTGAACAATTTGTGCTCCTTTGGTATGGGATTTTCTGGGGTTTGGTTTCGTTAGAAAAGGGATTCGAATTTCACAGAGAGGATGATAATTGTTGAGGGTGAAAAAGATGAAACAGTCGTTTTTATGCTTTTCATTCTGTTATTTTTTTTGGTTTTTTTTTTCCTTTTCTCAGGAAATAAAAAATAAAAACACTAATATTTTATTCCTTTTCTCATAAGATCTGTGTTAGTAGTAATTTCCGATAAATTATTAATTCGATAGTTTAATATTACTAAATTATTAATCGGATAATAATATTTTGTAAATTAATAGAATATTGTTAATAATTTGACATTTGTAGATATTAATTATTTATCAGTGTAATAATTAAAATATTCTCAAATTTAGTGATGAATAATTAATTAACCATTAATCAAATGGGATGTGATAAATGTCGTTCGAGCTTTAATAATACCGTTTCGACTTCAAACGTGATTTTGATTATTTTTAATTCCAAAATTTGCAAAACCTGAAAAATAGAATTTGTAGTATTCTGAGTTAGTTTTCTAATCCAACTTGAATCACCAAAATTGGATGTCGGACGAGAAAGATATACATAAATCAATGGATACTACCCACAACTTTGATGTATTGAGGTATACCTAAAATTCAAAATGTGACTCATTCATGCATAACTTCGTCACACGGCATCCAATCTAGCGGGTTTAAGTTGAATTAGAAAGTTAACCCAAAGGACTACAGTTTTCGTGTTTCGAATTTTGCCAAAATCAAAATAGAAATATGTCAAAATTATGTTCGAAGTCAAAACGACATTTAATATTTCAGTAATCAAATTTGTTAATTTCTTTTTCCTTTCTCCCAAATTCAAATAGTAGAGGGCCGAACAGCTGAGGCCTGCAATAGACACTGGGCTGGGCCGGGCTGGGTTGGGCCAACCCGAAAAGGGTTGTATATCAGGAATGAGAAATTCTACTCTATTGAATTTATTTATATTTTTGTTTGATTTTATGTTACTCCATATGTAAAGAGTCGATTTCAATATATGTTTGTTTTTTCTTTCTAGTATTTACTATAGTTTATTTATAATTTATAAAAGGGTAAATTCCAATTTACCCCATGTACTTTGGTTAGATATCACTTTACCCCCTGTATTCTCAATTGCATCGATTTGTCCCCTTGTACTTTGGTTTGATATCACTTTACCCCATTCTACTCTCAATTCATCGATTTGCCCCCTTGTACTTTGGCTCGATATCACTTTACCCCATTCTACTCTCAATTTCATCGATTTGCCCCCCTTACTTGAAAAATTGTCTCAATATGGCCCTCGTCGTTAGTTTTCAGGCCTTTGACATTAACACCGTTTGATTTAAGTATGAAAATTACTAAAATGTCACCCCTCCAGTTTAAATGATTATTAGATTGAAAAAAAACAAAAAATAAAAAAATAAAAAAATTAAAGACAGCGAGAAAACATAGTCACGACGACGCCAGCCACATTTTTTTTAATTAATAATTATTTAAACCGGGAGGGGTGGCTTTTTTGTAATTTTCAAACTTAGATCAAACGGAAAGGTCAAATGTCTGAAAACTAACGGCGAGGGCCACATTGAGATAATTTTTCAAGTACATGGGACAAATCGATGCAATTGAGAGTAGAAGGGAGTAAAGTGATATCGAGTAAAAATACAAGGGGGCAAATCGATGAATTGAGAGTAAAAGGGGGTAAAGTGATATTGAACCAAAGTACAAGGGGCAAATCGATGCAATTGAGAGTAAAATGGGATAAAGTGATATCGAACCAAAGTACAAGGGTGTAAAGTGGAATTTACCATTTACAAAAATTAATTATAGTAACAGAATATTTCATTCAATAAAAACATTAAATAATGTCACATTTCACATTTGTAATATCAGTTATCACAAACCATAGCAATTAATAATCATTTAATTTCTCAGTTTAAATTAAAAAAAAAAAAAATTAAATTTCTGCTTAAAGGAACCCTATAAATATTACTAAATACTTCCATTCTTCTCATCACCAATTAAAACAAAAACAAAAAACAATTCAGTAAATAAAAATAAAAAACTCATAAAAGAATGGCCAGATCACTCAGTCTGATCTTCCTCGCTCTAGCCGCCGCCGCCGTGGCCGTCGCCGCCATCTCAGCTCAGGCCAAAACGACCAACACAATCCACATCCCCTACGCCTCCGCCCCATTCTCCCCCCTACGCTTCATAAACCGCCACCAGCCCCGCCTCGGCCCCTACCTCCACCATCGCCGCCACCACCACCACCACCGCCACCACGCGCCTGCGCCGTCGCCCTCCAGCCAGGAGGTGGCTCTCCCGCCGGAACCCTTCCCTGGATTCTACATCTGCCTGGAAAAGCTGGCGGGAACGTGCGGCAGCGAGATATACAGAGGCATATTCGGGGAGGAAAGCGTGAGCGCCAGGTGCTGCGGACAGCTCGTCGGAATTGGGCGGCGCTGCCACAGAGAAATAATGAAAGCAACCCTTGAGCTGCCGGAGATGGCGAAGGTGGAGAAGGAGAAGATCAAGAAGAGGGATGCTGAGATTTGGTCGCAGTGCGTTTTCATCAACAATCTTAAAGCCGGCGGCTCCTCTCGCTTCCCAATTTCACCTTAATTTAAATTAAATTAATTTCTGCATGTATTTAATTTACTTGCTAATTAATTAATTAATTAATAATTACAAATATCAATATAAAGCTGCATGCAGTCCCTTTTTTTGTTTAACAAAGTTTAGTTCATTATTAATTATTTACTATTATTATTAACAAAAATCCAAATCAAAATTAAATATAAAAATCAAGAATTTTTTTTATTGAAATATCAGTGTACATTTTTCAAAAGAAACATATATCAAGAATGCTCGGGTTTCCGGATTTCGGGTTTTCGGGTTTCGGTTCGGTTTCGGGAAGGGTAAATATTAATCAAAGAATAATATAATTAATCAATATAACTATAAAAATCAAGAAAATACTTTGTTGTAGATATAATACTCAAAAAATCAAATGAGAAATATTATATTGAAATATAACAGCAGTGTACATTTTTCAAAAGAAACATTTATAAAACAAATGCAAGGGTGTCCAGTTTTCGGGTTTTCGGGGTTTCGGTTTCGGAAAGGCTAAATCATTAAATCAAGAATATAATTAATCAATATAATATTAACTAATTGATAACTTTGTACTATAACTCATGAACTTGACATTGATACAGAGAGAAGAAAACTCAGTTTATTGATAAAGAAGAACTTAATACACGCGGAAGTAGGGTTTTATATCGTATCTTATTCCTAACTAATCTGATATATGTAGTCTATATATATTTTGCTTAGTACAGTTCTACATAAATGGCAGTTCACAAATGTGTTTACAACAAATATAACAAAACGTATTAATAATAACTGTGTTTTTGTAATTAATCCAAAAAATGAATTAATTAACTAGGGGGGAGCAGCCAAGTAGAACCCTGTATAAAATCGAGGCTTATGAACGGCTTAACTTCTGCGTCGGACAACTTCTTAGCAAACGACGCCCGCTTATCGAATTTCCCAGCCGACCCTTTGTTGTTATATTCTCCAAAATACACAGTCCTGCACACACAGTTCACCATGCATGCACACGTAGTTACAACCACATAACAATTAAAGGGTGTGAAAAATAATTTGAAAAAAATAAATAGAGATGATAAAAGACGATTTTGGTTTTGTGGGACCCACTTGTTATCTTTGCCGGTGCCGGTGTACCACCCGTCGGGATTGACAGCATCGCCCAAATCAGAAAAGGCGTACACAACCCTAGCGTAAGGGTACCATGACCGCCCTAGGTACCCCATTGCTCCGGTGCCCGTGACTTTGCAGTGCGCGAAAACGTAACCGTTGGGCTCCGCCGATGCCGACCGCGCATTCGCGGCGATCACAGCCAGAGGATCCCCCGAAATAATGTGCAGCTCCGTGTTCTACGTAAACGCATGCATGCATGCATGCGTAATCAACATGCATGCAATTAGTAATAGTATATACACGTACCATGATTATTGGAAAATTAGTTATATTAATTTAATTTAATTGTTTATTACCAGATAAATGGATGCGGCGCTGCCCCATATGAAATCGTAGGTTCCTTCAATATAGCAATCCTTGTAGAAATGTTTGCCCTTGTCATCAAATAGGGTATCCTGAAATCCGTACAGTTTGCAGTTGTAGATCGATGCGTATTTCCCGATTATTTTTAACGCCACCGCTTGCGCGTCGACCATTTTCCCGTCCGGCCTCGGCGCAGTATTCTGTCGAGAAAATATAATTTAGAAAAATGGATAATTAATACGAAAGAATGAAAGGTCGAGGCGCGCGTGTGATTAAAGAACGAGAGACGCGCGCGTGTAGTACTAACCACGACTTTTAGGTTAACGGCGCTGAAGTAATCGGATTCGGCGGACAGGGTGGCGCTGTACACGACCCCTTTGCTCTTCTTCGCGGTGTCGTCGTACACGATCGTGGGCATGTTGCCCGCGTCGCCGCGGAGCGTGACGAACGGCTTGTTCGCCCCGACCGTCACTTTCTCCTTATACTTCCCGGGGCCGATCGACACGATCACGCGGTTCTTGTTCCCGTCGGGGATGCTCTTGACCGCGTCGTTTATCGTCTTGAAGTCGCCGCTCCCGTCGGCCCTCACCTTGATCACCTTCGGATTGGCCTCCGCAGCCGCAAGCTCCGGCGCTAAGGTGGCTTTCCGGGAAGCCGCATCCCCGACGTTCTTGTTGAACCAGCTGTTTATTTGGGAGGCGTCCGCCGGAATCGGCTCCGACCCGCCGCCCGAGCGGGCAACGGGAAGAGAGAGAAGAACGGTCACGAGGACCGCGTTTAAGGTGAAAATGTATGAGCTTTTTGTTTCCATTTTGAATGTAATAAAATGAAATTGTTTGTTTGAGATGAAAAACTTGGAGGAATTTATGATCTATATATATACACGAAATTACAGAAAGAAATGGAAGAACGGAAAGAATTATTGGAGTTTGTGGTAGTTGTTGTCGGAGTGGTATTAGCCCATGCTTTGGCATGGCTACTAATTAATAGGCTTATCGTTCCATTTTTTTAGGATAAAGGAAATTAATTATGAACTTCTTATAAATCTTTTTGCTATTTTTATTTATTTATCTGATTTAAAAGATATCTAATTTACAATTCTATTCGTTCCATGATATCTGTCTTCAGTGGCGAGTCTAGAAATATATTACACGGTAGGCTTAAATTTTCGGGGTACGGGGCAGCGCTCTTGAAAAAAAATTAGAATTTTTTTTGTGACAAAAACAGAAAATAGAAACATAGAAATAAGAAAAGAAAAAAAAAAAGAGTTTTTTGCATTAATTTGAATTTTGAGTGGAGTAATTAATAATAAATGGGTTTTTTTTTTTTTTTGCATTAATTTGAATTTTAAATGAACTAATTAATAAAAACTAGGGGATTAATAAATATATAGGTATAATATGGGAAAAATTGCAAATTAAGAGTGGGTTTGAGTCCATCCTCCTAAAAGAATCGATCAAGATAATGTTAATTAGGTGCCGGATATTTAACTTTTCAAGTGTTCGTGCAAGCAAATTTCGACGATTTCGTCACGCCACCGATGAGTGAAGAAAATGATTCTTTAACAAAATAGTACAAAAATGTAAATTCGAAAATTTGTTGCATGTAAAACTAAAATAGGACGAATTTGGAGAACTAAATCCTTTAGTACGTCAATTTACAAGACTATAATTAGAATTTTCTCTATTTTAACCATTCTGAAAATGATGTTACATATCAATGGAATTTAGAATGTAAGATGGTGACAAGTAATCGTGTATTATTATTTGCTATAAATTTTATTATTGCATTGCATGAAAATGAATGTTATTAGATTAAGAACTTAATTTGCTTGGGCCAATTTCTGAAATTTGACTGTCGAAAATTACTTAAGTGTGACGCAGATCACAAAATTCATTTATGCGCTCAAAACTCAAATAGAAACATTGATTTATTGAAAGGCCCAGACAATAAAATGACTAAATTACCCTTTGGGTGACATCAGAATCAGATTGCACTGTGGAGAAGTATCTGGCGGAGTTTATTGAAAGTTTATGGGGTCAACTATAATATATTATATTTAAAACATAATTATGTGACCTCTTTTTATGTAGATTTAATGCAATCTAAAAGACATAAAATTTATTAATAAATTCAAATTAAGGGACTTTTAAAATAAAAATAAATAAATTTATTTTTATTTTTTTATTTCGTCAAATGCAAAATCCAGCTGAAAAGAGAGACCAAACGTTGACTTTAGTATAAGAAGGCGCAGCCATGAAATTAAATTATAACTTTCGAGGTCATTCTTTTTTGCAAAAGTCAACATCAAAAGCCTGTCCCAAAATATTTCTTCTTACATTCGATTAAATTTTGTAAATTTAAATGAGTTTTTAATAAAAAAGAATCAAATAATTGTTTTTTTTATCTATATAAAAAATAAAAAATAAAAACCAAATAATTCTGAAACTGTAATTATTTCATTCCAATACATCCGATTTTTCACCATACGGTCAACATGGTAATAATGCTTGGCGTTGACCTGAGATCTAGTTAAAGAAAAGTCAATTCAGACTGGTTATAACTATCTGATGAAGTGATTTGCGAGTTATTTATTATAAAATAAATGATTCGTGCTCAAGCACAATTAGATTATTAGTCTTTTATATCTTATATATAAAAAAAATGCTAGATTTATATAATTTTTATTAATTATTTCATTTCTTTAACGATCAATTTCATTTCATGATAATTGAGTTTATATAATTTTCTATGGAGTGGATTTTGGATTTGTATTGTCAGATTTGTATAGATACTGTAATTTAAATAATATCCCTAATAAAATTTATTATCATAGTGTAGTATATTTTTTATTATAATGATAATTATTCTTTTTCCTATTAAAATGTTATTCCGAGCATTACTCAGTAATTAATATAGATTTTATATACTAAGTCGATTTTATCATATATTGTTAGTTTAATATGGTTTACGTCTCTCGTATGATTTGCGAGTATATAGCCTTAGTTACCAATAAAAAAAATATCAGATGTAATACACTATATTTGAAAAAACTAAAAGAAAAAATAATAATCAAACTAGACACAGAGAGAGGGACAAATAACTAGGAAAAAGTTAGCCAATAGGAAATGAGGAAGCCTCTCCTAAATATTATATTTATAATTATATAATATTATATTTTTCCCTCCCCTCACCATTTCCACCCACTCCAAATTCCTCAACACCTCA